AATCGAGCGACGTTGCGGTCTATAGAACTTATAATATCTCTTTGTATTGTATCAATTAATGAAAAAAAAGATTAAAGTAGTATTTTAAGGATTTCAACGCGTTTTATGTTGTTTTAAATTCCCGACGTTTGCGGAGACTTTACAATGATAAAGCTTCGTAGATGAATAAAGTAGCAAACGCTTGTATCTTCAAAACGTCAGGAATTTAAAATGAATGCAATAAAGTCGTTAAAATTATTTTATTTAATGATATTTAATATACGTGTGAGCCAAGACAATCACGCACGACTAGGGTCAGGCACAAAGCACCGTTGCCACTTTATTACCTGTCTAATCAACTTTTTGTCAACTATAACTTTGATGCTACTTTATGACATAGTCTACAAGTACCGAATAGATTCGAAGCACTATTCCGTAATTGTAATCGATTTACACCACGCGAGAATTACACGCGAAATAAGTAGTATCTTTTGCACAGGTGCCATTTTTATGTGTATACTAGCTACTGCTGCCCGCGACTACTGGCTGATATGCACACAAAATTTCACGAAAATCGGTCGAGACGTTTCGGAGGAGTTCAATTACAAACACCGTGACACGAGAATTTTATATACCTATTAGATGTAATAGCATTATGATGTCGGAATCCTCAAATCAATCGACGAAATAAGTAAGGGAAACCGCTCGCAAAATCTCGCGGACGATGAACAGGCCGTGTTATTGTTCCCCTTTTTCCGGTGAACAACCAACAGTCATTACAAATGTAAACCATGTAATCGAGGCCCAACAATGGACTAGTTGCATTGTGCGTTTAAATTGCTATTTTTACACTGGATCCTCGGTGTGAAAACTCTGCGTAGGAACAATGCGCAAAAGGCTGTATGTGAAACAAAAGGTCCTGATGACTGTTGCGCTCGTGACGTTTGCGTGGTAGTTTGAAGCATTAGACAAAGTTACATTTTACATAGAGGGCTTGGCACATGTCAAGTTAATATATATGTCAAAGTGTGTTTGTTAGTCCTTCCACGAAGCACTGACCGAAATGCCTTTTTGCGCAATGATAGTTTAGTTTGTATGATAGCTAGATAGATGTCTGGGATAAGAAATAGCCTAATTTCTAGCAGCACTTCCCCTGTGAAACGGGTCGTGGGAGTGATTTTTACTTTACTTATGGTATAAAGTAAAAAGTAAAAAAAATGAAATTTATATTCCTCGCGAGCGGCACCGCGGTTTAAAGTTGTTAAATAATTAACTTACACCTTGTATCTACGAGAGTAGATTCTGGATTTCCATGCATACATGCTCGTCAGTGGAACGATTGGGTATAAAATACACACTTGAATATTTTATCCTGCGACCGAAGAGTAACGGGGGGGAAAACAAAGAACCCTGGGAAGTAAGCGAAACGTCATCTTAGAGGGATAAAAATCTCGTGAACTTTTCGCCAGTTCTTATTTGAAAAGACGTGATAGTGAGTCCCTCGAGTATCTCGTTAAATTAAATAGCTTCACGTCAACAAAACAAAAACCCGCCTACGAAATTGTTCGTTCGCTCGTTGTTGACTCTACGTTCGTATGTTCTTAGGCGTGACTCATGTTTACCGGTAATTTATTATTTAATGCAAATTTTTCGTGCCGTAGTGTTATTTTATTATTCGAATCAGAAGATCACCGATAAGGTTTGCTTTCGCGTTCGACGTTTGTATGAGGTTGTTTGAATTTTCCGCGCCTTATACATGTAAATTATATGCATACTAACTTACGTAGGGACACGCAAGCCTTCGTTGCTGCATGAACGGATGGTGTCGTGAGTCGTGACTGTACAGAGATCGGCACGAGTAGGAATTTGTACGTTAGGTGAGGTACACTATAGTGCCCGTACGCATCTCCACGGTGCGTTGCTAACCATAAATATAGGCCATATTTAGGGTTGCCAACGCAACTGTAACCCGCTTTTGTGGCGGATCCAAGTGTGGCAGTAATCACATACCGACTGCGGCACATGCAAGTGTGTGTACTCTTACCATAATAAATATATTTATAATATGTGTCAAATTCTTGCGTTTTTTATTTTTAGAGTAATCGACGCATGACCTTTTCACATCACATATCCGTTGCGATATATACATATATCATGCGATATGTCGCGTTTAAAACTATCATTAAGAGCGCTTCAATAAGCTTTATCGTTAAAAAACCATGTTCGGATTAAAGCCGCATTTAAACGCTTTTGATTACGCGGGATTAAATTTAAATCGACCTTATTGCATTATGAATTAGAAATGATAGTGTGCTCAAAATGATGGCATATGTGCATTCGTATCGAAGTTTCGCAGTACACGCGAGGCGTAATCTTTATTTATTAAAAAAATAAAATCCTGTCATTCGTTTATATTAAGTAAGGATGGGACATAAATTTAGAATTTCGTACTTTAAAAGTCATCTCTGCACTGTACTGTTTTTGAAATTGCAATTTTTTTTATGTAATACGATGATACACGAGCTGGCGGTTCCTGTCTATATACTATCTATGGACGTTTGCAACACCCGTATTGCAGCCCCAGATACCTTACTCACGGGACGAAACACAGTAGTATATATAACACTTCCACTTCACGCCGGTTTCCAGTGAGGTGGTGGTACTTCCCCGGACGGACCTGGCCATTTGTGCAACGTCTAAGACTGCTGCGTGGCCCTACCACAGTTAGACTGCTCTTAAGTCCGATATCCAGACTTTTTTTTCTTTTTTTTTAAACATTGCCCTTACTTTAGGATAACACTAACCTGTGTTGTAAGGACGTTTTACAAACATAAATTTCACGTGGACAAACACCCAGATGCGAAACAACTATCTGTGGGTCATACAAATAATTGTCCCGTGTGGTAATCGAACCCACGACCCCCGACGCCGAAGCCAATACCTTGGTAACTGCGCCACTGAGTCCTGAAGAGACTTGTTCATCGAATTACTGACTCGACCGGAATACGGCATATATGTATATATTGCTTTGTGCATAGGGAACTGAAAGCGTGTTACAAAAACATTTAGAACCCACTCTTCGCTGTCAATATCCAACTTCCATTCAATTGCGGCGATTCTAAAGTGCTCAGGCCGTGTTTGAAGCTCTGCTTAACTTACGCTCGCACCACACTCGGCTTTTACACTTTTACACTATGATTTTAACTATTGTTGTTTATCACATTAATTGTTTGATTTTGTAACTCTCTTTACATTACAGTTCTTTTGCCGGGCTTAGTTCCATGATGAGCCATTGCTGAATAGGATTGCCCGCGAGCATATTAAATTCTGCAGTTCTGTTCGGGAAGATAAAGCTATTTCGTTAACATGACATATCTATCTGCTTATCCTTGTTAAAAGGCTTACATCATTATGTGTTATATTTCTAGGAAAATACATTGTGAATGGATGGTGATGTATGTTTGACAACCGCCTCGGCTTCGCGGTTAACACTAATTATATAAAAAATCTGTTGATTCGAGCGCTACCAAACTTATATTACATATACAGATATTTTAAGATTACATTTTCTCATGTTTCTGTCAGCGTATGAGGTGTAGTAGGTACCAATGCGGTATGGTATGGTCTTCTATTAGGTCACGACCTAAAGTACCACGGTACTTCCCCGGATAGACCTGCCCATTGTGCAACATTGCGAAAACCGTTGCGGGTTTCCTCTTCTCTCTTTTCGTTCCATCACTGCTTCCCGAACACCTGATAGCTGAGTGATAGCTTCGCCGTATTAAAACAAACTCCCTTCGACTTTAAACACAACTGACGTGTTCCGAAAAGATACGTTAGAAAGATAAAGGTACTCAATTATCACCGGTGCTTTTTATGCAGACATTATTGCAATCCGGTTTCAACAAGCGAGCAGGCGGTTCACTTCACGTTAGGTGATTACCACTGTTCATGGACATCTGCAAAACCTGACGGATTGCAGATGCGTTGATAGCCATCAAATAAGTGGGCCCCCGGTTACCTGACTCATCAGACGAATCGCGAAAGTAGAATACTTCCACTTTTCTTTCTTAACTTGCGGCGGTAGTATGTATGCGGTAATGTTAATTATAAAGTTTGAGTAATATTAAAATAGTTTAATTAAAGTCCAGAAAATGTTCTTAATTTTAAAATGTTATAATAAATGTTATAATAAATATTATATGCTAGTGTTAGGTTAAGTATAATGTTTATAGTCGGTAATGTTCGGGGCACCAGGCCGACACGCAGGTTAGTGGTACACTGTCATTATATTACCAATTTGTTGGCGTCGTATACGGTACACGCATATAGTGATCGGTTACTTAGCCCGAACATAACATGTTCGAAAAATTGACATTTGAATTAGAGATATAGTCTTTTTTTATGTGAAAAGTTGTCAAGGAGCAGGCGGTTCACCTGATGTTAAGTGAATACCGCCGGCCCCGAATACTTCACTAACACAACGTCGTCCTACACTCCGATGGCCAGTACGAGGCTGCCACTCGAGAATCTTTCTTCCCCAACGGTTATCGGTTCTACGAGCTATATGGCCGGCCCATCGCCACTTCAGCTTGCCAATTCTCTGAGCTATGTCGGTTACCTAGCCCCACTACAGTAATAAACCTTTCTTTGTCTTTTAATAAACCTTTCCCGTCAGGTCGCATGCACCATTCGGCGAGCACGCCGGCGGGCGTGGACGGCGCTGGTGGCGCCAGAACACCACCAGCCACCCCGAAGAAGGGCGGCAAGATGCTCGCCGTGCGCGTACACATGTTGGACGACACCGTCTCCATGTTCCAGATACAGGTACGTAAAGGAAACTTTCATTGGGCGAATTACAAGACACGAATGGGTAAAATCGTATTTATCATCGTTTTCTCCAGACGCAGTAGATAAAGACTCATCTAGATTTCCCCTTTAAAGATCTTTCAGTACGTAAATTTTTTCTGTCCTCTGCATACACTACGCATCACCTATCCGTAATTCATTGGAAATTATCTCGGCTACACGAAGGTCCCTAATATGGTCAAGATTCGTAGCCGCGTACGGTCGGAGAGATACAACGTAGGTTGTTGGTGAAATAACAGCTGGAAAGGGCGATAAGGTTTTTCAGCATTCTGCAACTTTTCACTAAACGGCCTTGGTTGCTATTTGAACGAAGCTATTTGTCTGGCGTGGCGACCTCAAAAGATAAGGTGAAGAATGTGTACGAGGTCGCAAGTTAGTGTGGTCTGTCTATGCCGTTAGATGTGATGCGTACTGTTTTATTATTACTAAATTACGCCTATGTGCCGCTGAACGTGTTGCGAGAGAAGCCTTATAAATAATAGTGACGGATGCTCCAAATTATGAATTTTAAAATGGTGCTGGAAAGATAAAAGTATAGGTCTAATCTAAGTAGAAGACATAAAGTGACAATTTGGGTGTTCTTAAAAAAGGAACGAAGAGTTTCTCTATGCATACAGATTAATGTAAAAGTTTGAACTATGCTTCTATTGTATGATAGTGAGCTCATCAATTAACTGCCATTACCAAGTAAGGTTAATCATTCCTTTTGTTTCTGCCATCAACTTATGATGGGTAGAGCGATTAATCATTGTTGTGTTATTGACTAGTCTACGAGATAAGTTGTATTGTGTTAATGTAACATTGAAGTTGATGCTAATCTTTGCTTTATACATTAACTGATCGATTTCGTGAATAATAATATACTGTTACTTAGATAGTTTTTTTTTTAATGTCAATCAATGTATGTACCTAGAGCGGGGTGAGTCGTGACCTATATTATAACTTTTTTCGATACCTCACTTGCGATAAAATTTTGAACTAAATTGGCAACCGTAACCTTTGTATAAATTATTATCTACATTTCACAAAGTTCTGTTACTTTATTTCAACAGTTTAATTTTTTTTTTTGCGAAATTGCGCAATTTACAACTTTTATTTTCTTCAAGAGAAAATACGTTAATTCTATAACCAATTATCAAACAGACGGTTTCAGTGCTCGCCGCTTGGTTGATGAGTGAATCATTGTCCAGTGTGAATCATATCCTTTCAGACTTCAGCGTCCATGTTATGACGGAAATGTTGTATATATTATGTAATTCGGAGTAAAGGAAAAATCCCACATATTGTTAATATAATAATCATTGCCTTAGTTAAAAATAAGTTAAATAACTGTTGTGTGGTGACCGATTTCCGTTCAGATTTATCCGTTTTTGTTTAACTATTAATTTACGAGAACGATAGATATAGTCGTTTTCTTTAGAAGTTCATACTTCAGGCTTCAACCCCTTTGTAAAGCTTCAGATTTTTCACAGCCTATAAAACCGCCCACGTAAAATTGTTTCCACTTGAGAGGAGAAACATCAATCTTTGTTAGTTTGATCTAGTTTGCGATAAAATCATCGGCATGGTTGAACGGAGAATGTTTTGATTAATAACAGTATGTCTAATATTATATATCTAATGGCCTATGTCTGTGGTGATACATATTTTACGATATTTAGTACCTGGAGGACCGGTCGGTTTTTTTTGGTAAATCATGTATTTTGGAAATAAAAATAATAAAAAAATAAAGAAAATGATGTGGAAAAAAAAGTAAAAGAAATAAGTATGTGAAATAAGAAATGATCGTGATGAAATGACCGCGGCCGTCTGTTTTGGGGCCGCTCGATTACCGACCGAGCTATTATAACATTTTTTTTGCGGCGTAATTTACTGTCATATTCGAATGATAATTTTCATTCCTTGAAAACAGGGATAAAAGGAAATTTTCTAAAAATGAAACTGAACTGAAATCATCGGGTGAACCTTCAACTCGTCTGATAAAAAGTTCATTTCCTAATAAAGTCGCCGTGATCCGTTCCACGTTGCGAGCTATTCTGTATCTATGAGTATTTAAGAGACAATAGTGAGGCACACCAAGGCAAGAGTGAATAGGTTTTTACTGAGCTAGCGCGCTTACCATCAAAAACTGCATCGCCACTTACCATCAGTTGGGATGGCAGTCAAGTGCTGGCAAGTGAAAAAAAAAAATGAGTTGCCTCAACCAATAAGAAAGCAATTTGTGCTCCGTCTGTCCCCTTGATCCTAATAGGTTATGACGGCGAGTGCTCTGACATAGATCGGGGTAGTAATAAAACCTTTCCATTTCTATCCGTCGAAGCGAACAATGTCTCAGGTCAGTTTCATTACACTACAGAAAAGGAAATCTTTAACAGAGAAACATTTCTGCACTAGGGAATTATTCCTGTTGCGGTATGTTTCATAAATATTTAACCATAGACACAGGAGGACACCCGGATTCCGAACAATTGGTTATTTACACACGATGGTTTGTCCCGCTCGAGAATCGAACTCACGCCCCCTGCCAATGGCCGTTAGCGACGTGAACATCTGTTCAGTCTTTCGTGTAGAATGGGTTTTCTTTCATGAATGGCCCAACTCATCAAGGGTCCACGGTCTTGTAAACGTCCGGCGTTTGAAACATCAGTTCTCGCCGTTTCCTGTATAATTATTCCTTGTAAACTGTCTTAATTGGGAATTTTGATAACTTTGAGATAACTGGTGCCGCGCTTAATTAAAAGTTCACTTTATAATTGGAAATCCAAGTTTGTTGTGAATAAGTCTCTTCTTCGCCACATTCCCTTATATTTACATCTTTCAATAATTAACAGATTTGGATAGTTATTTTTTTGTGGCTACTTAAATTTATTATTGTATACATACATCTTCAATAACGCTAATAATTTCAAAAGACAAAATCACGGTGCCCTGGTCCTACTCTGTTCTGTTTTTCTGCCCGTTTCGCGTTCTTTAATTATTTGTTTCGAGCGTACGCGCGATAAATAATAAATTGGATTACCAACTATTATCCACCCCGGTCGTCGAATCGTATTTTACGCTGATCCGACGTTAACTCTGCGATAGCATCGACGGAACGAATGTATTTATCAATGCTCATTCTCTAAACTCTAAGCTCTGTTCGGGTTTTTGCTGATAGCACAATCTCTAAACCGCTTGGCGTATGGAGCGCGAGTGTATTTTCGACGTCTAATTATCACCGCATGAATTGGTTTGAGTTCTTTTCTTTTTGTTTTTGTGAAAAGTTGGCGACTGAGCAGTTGGCTCGCCTGATGTTTAGTGATTACCGCAGCTCATGGACGTCTATAAACACCTGGCGGGTTGCAGATGCGTTTGTCAACCAACAAAATACTTGGTCACTGTTACCTTAGTCACCAGGTGAAAAGTATAATACAAACGCATTGTATTTCCACTTCACGTCGGTGTTCTTTAGGCCGTGGTACTTCCCCGGACGAGTCTTTTAATTCGTGCAAGAGCACAAGCTGCTGCATGGCCCTACCACAGTGTTTGTTTTCATCTAAAAACGTTTGCCCTAACGCATTTCACAAGTACAAATTGGACACGGAGGAACCCAGAGTCGGTTATCCGTGGCCCTATAACAGTAAAGGTTTTTAGCAATTTTTTCGCTAATTGAAACGTTTGCAATGCCCGCAAGCTGTCCAATAAATTGATTTGTCAATGTACTAGAAATTCATTTTCCATTTTAATAGCACTACCCGCAGCCGCCTTCCCGAAGCCGTTGCAAATCAAAATCGATCATTTTTATTTGCATCCGATATGGAAACTCGCGTATCTTTGATTGCGTCCGCTCGCAATTCCGATCCGAGCTGGAGATTCTCTCATTGTTTACGAGCGATTGTAAAACTTATTACGGAGCCGCGTGCGAAAAAGCAAGTCAATAAAAAAAAATTTAATTCGACCGTTCAAATTCGTTCCACACGTAAAACATTCAATCCGAAAAACAATTCTCATTTGCGTTACAAAAACTCCGCATTTGTTGCCTTTTACGTGAAAATATCACTTTATGCGAATTACACGAAATTCTTCGTCCGATGCAGATGCAAGAAAATTACTCCAATTAAAATACGGCCTCGCCGGGGAGGTCGGGAGGCCAATTGAAATATTTATATCTATTTGCTAAGGGTTTTCTGGTACGAGAATGATAATATGAATTAAACATGATGCAGTTCTAATTATACGCAATTGTTTTCAAGTAAAAAGCATTTGTCGCATTTTTTATACTAAGGATTTTTATCAATTCGTTCTTTGGGTTTGAAGATACTTTATGCTCGTGTCAAGCAAAAAAGTAATTTGTAGGAGGATTAGTTAAGAATGACTAAAAGGGGAACTGAATATTAGCCCCTATATTAAGAAAGAACATGCCACTAAATTGTCACATGCAGATTGTCTTCTAATGCCGCAGTCGGCCTCCATGCATTTGCACCTTATTCTTGTGTCTAGTTTTATGCAAAGGTTTATTCATTTGCCTTAATTTACACGTTTAATAAACACAGACATTTAAATATGTTTACTAATGCTAATGAAATCATTCTATTGTAAGCATGGTAATGTTATGCCCTATAATAATAATATAATAGTTATGGAATATATAAAAATATATACAGTAAGAATAAAACTTGCTTTGGAGTTAAAATACAAAATTTTAACTGCCTTTATTTTTTTTACTAATTTATGTATGATACCAAGAAATTTGATTCTGATCTGTCTGCCTGGCTCTATCTCATAAACTGTGATAGAAACTTGAAATGATCACGGATGATGTATTTCTGTTGCCGCTATAACAACAAATACTAAAAAACTGAAAATATCTAACGGGGGTTTAAACACAATAGGCACGATTTTTTGCTGTTTTTAAAGATAATAAATAGTACGGAACACTTCGTGTTCCAGTCCGACTCGCACTTTGCCGCTTTTTTACC